GTATAATATGGGTCCAGTGTTTGTGGTAACGTAAGTTTGTAATGGTTAATCAAAGAGCTGTTCGCGCAGTTTCATCACAATGACATCGCAGGTAAAAAGATGGACAATATTAGTTGTTTTAACTCTTTCAACACCAGTCAACCAGAAGCGTTTACTGCTGTGACACTGAGTTACCAGAGATTCTTGTGTGATAGATGAAACCAACATGTATCAAAGAAAATATCTGCTTGTAAAACATCTTTGCTACTGTATGTTGTTCAACATTTGAAAGGTCTGACCCTATTGTTCATAAATATGAAAGTTATGTTTATCACATTATTTAAATAATGAATTTACAACTTAATTATGTTCGTTGTAAATAAAATGATGTAAGCTAACATCATAACGTCCAGATTAAAGGACCAAGGAAGGGAAAATTTGACGATTTTCGGCAAATATACGATTTCATAAAATACACTTACCTATTTATTTTTTATTTTTTATTGTTTACGTAATTGGAAAAGCATTTTAAAACGAATTATAAATAGTATCTGTCATCACCCATTTCCCGATAACAGCTCCTGTCCACTCGGTAACATGAAGAAATACCCCTGTTTTCGAGGCTTCGTATGAATAACACGTTCGTCGAAGACTGGCATATGACACATCGCTAGAAAGCTTATTCTTTATCTTCACGCTTGTAACATCGCCTTGAGTTTTTCGTAGTTATAATAAGCGATTTCATTTGATACAAATTGGTTTCTAATGACGCTTTCTTGCCGAAATCTGCTACAAGGTTTGTGATTGGTCAAATTTGAGCACATGATCTAAGGCAGCCAATCAAATTACAGCGGTGGTGTGAATTTCAGATTTTGACGAAATCTTTTTGTTAATCGTGGCTTTCTGAACATTTTAAGCGATTTATATTAAAAATATGGTGCTTCGTAGATTATCGTGCTAGGCTACGAGCTGTGACAAAGATTTTTCATGCATATATTTTGGCATGAAACATCGTGTCCGAGCCGAGAATTTGAGGCGACGAATGCCGAGATGTCATTTGATTTACATTACAAGCAATCGCAGGGAAAGATGGAAATAATAACTTAGCTGTAAGTTTGACAACTTTTAGATATATTGTGGTATATTTTCGTTGATTGTATTTATTACTTTGTATACTATATTTAAAGATTTGCCTGAATCGTCTTTATTTTGATCTTTGACATGTTTGATGTGGACCCGTTGTAGAAAATTGTGTCTGAGGATTTTATTTTCAATAACAGAGCGGGAAATAGTGAATAATTTTTTAATTTATTGATAAAAAATGATAAATTGAAATGGAATACGTATTTCAGACATTGTGAAATGTGATAGTTTTAATAATGAATGATATGACTGGTAGGTTTAAAAAATTATATACTGTTTTGACGTGACTACGGCTTGGCCGGTCTACCGGCCTACGGTGTCTGGGGACTTGATGCTTCTTAGCCGGTATTACGGGCCGGCATGCATGGCCTACGGTGTTGAAAGAGTAATAATAATTAGGCATAAGCAACTTAAATTTGAAAACACAATATCATTGTCAATATACTGGTACATCACAAACGTATCGTGATACGTAATTGTTTCATTTTCATATTGCGGTATGCCGGTATACCGGTAATACCGTGCAGCCCTAATTCTGACTATGGTGTCTAGCTGGTTGTGGATGTGTCCGACATGATCCGTTAATAGTCATAGGAGTCTCTCCGGATTTGCCATCATATGATGTCTGCAACGGTGGAATGATGTGCCTGATCCTGGCGACAAACCAGTTGATATATGCGCCAAGGTACATTAAATGTCTGGACATCATAGACAGGTCTTTAATCTGGGAAGTAGGTAACATGACTTTAGTATTAGGGTTGCGTACTAGCTTCATAAAGTCCTCGTACAAAACTTGATGTTCCGGAAGTGGAGAATCATGGATTTAATACAACTTCCGCTTCAATGAAGGTAAGGGTACCTGGTCATCATGTCTGAGCTTGAGTAGACTTTCAGAAGCCTGATGTACCACCGTGCCTGCATAACTCGGCCACGGCAATGTCTGGCGGGTATGTTGAGATGATGTAGGAGCATGACATCCTCCGTATTCCGGCATTCCCTCTGTATAATCCCTTTGGGGTGAATCGTCAGACTGATTAACCTCCTGATATAGGTCTGATTCCGCCTCAGAATGACCGTGTCCACCGGGAGGGGTGGATGTTCGGCATAATCCATACACTCAACGCGTTCCCCGTGCGGTTCATCATCCGCTGGTGTCCAGGAAACAGCTTGTGATGACTGCCCGTGTATAACAGAACCCGTACAGGAATAAAGATCCTCTGTCAAACCGCCAGGCTGTCCCATGATGTAATCTCCATCTCAGTCGGTAGACCCTGACGGTCCCATGCGGTCCAAGCACTTGGGTTCCGTTTGTTGATGGTGACTATGCGTTTGAAGTGACACTCCCGTAACAGTCTGCTGGGCTACCATAGGGTCCGTGCGGAGACCATATGGTGTCTTAGATGAGGAAGATGTTCTTGCGGTACGCTGACAGGACCCAAGCAAAGATCTGGATGTCCATGCCCAGGGTAAAGCTTGGGAGCTTCTACCTGGCTGGTTCGAATGGTCATCTGGGGTAGGCCTTACAGCCATGGCTGTGGTCCGAACAGATGGCTTGTCCCCCATGCAGCCCCTTAGCCGGAGGACTCTTCTCAGCCAATACTGTCTCCTTCTTTCTAAGCATCTCCATCTCCTGAGATATAGCTGAGAAGTGGGAATCAAACAGCGACTCCATCATCTTCTTCTGCTGGTTGAAGAGCTATTCCAACATGTTCATAGAGAACGCAGAAGTAGATTCATTCAACGGAGTATTATGTGAGACACTGTGGTCTGAACAGATGGCTGTCCCCCATGCAGCCTCTTGGCCAGAGGAATCTTCTTAGCCAATACTGTCTGCTTCTCTCCTTCTAGCTCTGGTCAAGGTTTCTCCTAGTTTGTTGAAGGCCTTCTTAGACAGAGTAGAGCATTGATCGCATCTTGCCTCTTCAGTGCGCGTAAACGTTTTATAAACGTCCTCAATATTCTAAATTGTCCTTCTTGGAATGACAGACCAATAACAATACTCTGTTGTTATTATTATGGCATATCAATACGTTATATCGCACTCCGCTGCCGTTATTTTCAGAAAATAATTTGGCAATCATCGAGCATGGTTTCGGAGTAAGACTTACAAATTTGACCTTACGCACTGGCAGCAATGACAAAAAAAATGAAACATAGGCCTGAAGCCCGCTACCCAATCAATAAATAGTAAACAGTTGATGATAAATATCAAATTATGTAATTTCTTTCAAATTCGAATCTATTTCAGAATTTTCATGATGATAGCTTACCAACTTAAAACTGCAAGTATTTTGATTATTTTGCCATTGAATGGTGTACCTAGAATGTATATCATTTCAGATTTTGCGTATCATCCAATATTTTTCATTATTTGCAGTGTCTATTGACTTTGTTCAGCTAAATGAATCGCGAGTTAGGCCAGGCCCAAACGTGTCACTTAAGCTTGTTAACAGCATGACAATGTCCAAAAGTTTATCACAGAGAATCATTTGTAAACCCGATAAAAATGAGACATTTTTACAAATATTCAAACATCTGTGTTAATAATTCTAGAAAATTAATTTAGATATATAAAATGGATTGTTATAGTACCACAGGATCTCGATGCATGTGGAGTTGTTTGTTTACCACCTTTGCCATGATCGTACAACTTTCATCCAATAGATGATGTTTCAATTCCGATTGTTTTTGTTTACAATTAATTAAAATGAAAGTTGCTAATTTTTAGAAATTAAGGAACTTGTGTGTTTTCTTTCCATCAGGTAACAAAAAGTTATGATCGAATGTGAAACATAATAAAATCATAAAGAAAATTGCATGCCGATCAACGTGAAGTGTCAAAAGTCAACAAGTCAGTTGTGTGCCAAGAAATTTGGCCGATACATTCTGAACTTGCGATGTTTCGTTTTTTGAGGTAAACAAACTACTGAAAGTTTTGATATTCTGCAAGCTGAGCATTTATGCATTTCACACATAACTTAAATGATACACAAAGCCTACTTGTTGAACAGTTATTGCGAGTTTCATTTGGGGGCGGTCCTTTGACTATGCGCCTGTCGAATGGGTTCGACAGTAGCATTGAGAGCATTAATGATCTCAGAACTGTTATGTCAAGCATGATCTTTGAAAGACAAAGTGGCATTTCATCAGTAGAATAAATATAGGGCAACTTAGCTGTAAGAAGGATCAATACAAAATGTTTGAGGTGACCATACTCTACAAGACAATGTAATCTGTAGAGTGACGACGCTGCCTCACTTTTCTATCCAAGGACTAATCAAGGGCTTCGTGGGCCATGAGCTTAAAAAAAACAAGTGAATTATTTTCACTACATCAAATTTAATTCTTGTTTTTTGGCCAATTGTTGGCCAATTATGCAGGATGCAACATAAGGTCAGGACTGACTCAAAGTGTTCAGCACAAACATTTGAATAGAAATACAAATAAATCAAATATAGGATCTTAAATGTCTTAAATTGTTTGAAGGTATTCATATACCTTTCATAAATCTGGCACAAAATTGGTCAGTACCAAACTTCAAGACAGACAATGTGAGCAGGCTGCAATATTTACAAATTGTCTTTGTCCAGTAAAATTTCTTATTGAACAGTAAAGATTGTCCATACTAACCAGTAATATCTACTGAAAATATTGTCAAGACTATATTTGATTGGGGAAAACTAGATGGACTGAAACCATTTTGTCACAGACTGGGTGAGTTGTCTCCACCCTATTAAGTTAAGACAAGCATAAGAATATATTTCTCTTGATTAGTAAGTTCATTTTATCTTGATATCACATAATACTGTTTGATATTTGATATGAAATAAAGTGTCAAAGATTAAGCTGCCTCAAAATACCACCACTGACATTCTCACCTCATTCGGTGTGCCTTCTGTGCTTCTAGTACATGCAGTTCCTTAGGCACATGGCCTGTCAAAGAGCTCTGCTGGTTACTCATCACCACTCGAACATTCTGGAAGCAAATAACATATTCTTCATTCGGATGCATAGATGCATAGATGTCAGCATACATGCAAAGGTTCAGCTTCATAAGCCTTGTGGAAGCAAGACTGTCACAACTCTAATGTTAAAGACTAATGGCTTAGGAGTTCAGGGCCACATTAAAGTACTACAGTAGACAACATTTACGACCTCAGTATCCACCTTAGTTTCTAACATTGCTTAACAGTTTCAGTGAACAAATTATTTACCACTAAAGTTCTGACTAATTACAGGCATATAAGTCAGCCTATTATACCAAGGGTTCTGTACTTGCATGATTGATATCATGGAAGTATATAATATTACGAATGGAATTGATGATCCTATAGTTAACCCAGTCTGAATGCTAACAAAGTATATTGTATTGTCACATTCTTTATTGCAAAAAGCCACCTATCTGATTGTTCTCATGCCTACCATTTCATCATCATCTTCCTCTCCACTTTCAATGCCCTCCACCCTCTTCTTCTTGCACCACCAGCCACTGTCTTGACAATAGGCCATGAGGACAAACATGGGGAAGAAACACAATGTCAGCCAGGCTTCCCATGGGTCCACCACATTTGGAGATATATAGGCTACCACCAGTAACATCCACACATATGCCCAGATGGACCAGATTGATGTCAAGACGAAAACACCCAGTTCTTTTATGCTTTTCACATTTGGTGTAGGAACACTCACTATACATATTGCTGTAATAATTAACAAATTAAATGCAGCACTACCAATGATTGTGAATGTTCCTAATGAGTCTTCAGTAGTTTCACTACCGAGTCTGAGAGCAGCTTCAATAGTGGCCAACAAAATTTCGGGTGCACTGCTACCAAGGGCCATCAACGTTAAATTTGCAACCGTTTCATTCCATATAAGAATTTCTCTCTCTACTTTCTCCTGTTTCTCCTCATCCCAACGCACAATGGTCCTCTTCTTGCTGGTGATAACCTCAATACTGCACATGAAAGCATCTGAGGATATAGCAATGCCCATGAAGAAATATATCATGGCCACAATGTAGAGAAATCCACGAAGTTCCTTTGACCAGAGGTTCTCTGCTGGGAGTAGTAGCCATGATTCACAACGTGACAAACCTGCTGGTACTACCTCAAGCACATATCCATTGCTAAAGTTGGTGAAGTAAGTCGCCATGCTTAATTTTGTCCCACTGCACCTTTGGTCAGCTTGTGTACTTTACCTGCAAAATAAAGTAGAGGGCTAGAGGTTATGCAAAAACAAATGTAATATTGGGCAATTGTGCACTTAAACAAGGTTCTTTATGTATGAATTCCACACTTATCTAAAGTTGCATTACATATTTAAAAGTACAAGACTCTTAACATGTTTTTTTTTGTTTATCAGTGTTTATCAAATGCATGAATTATTTCACTGGATTTCTTAAAAAAATAATAATTAGGAGTTCCATTAAAAACCATCCATTTCAGGTGATCTCTGAGTAAACTTTGATCTCCCTATCAAACTAAGGAATGAGCAGATGTCAGCTTTCTAAAACAATTTGGCTGAAAAAGAAAACTCACACAAAATACAAAAACTCTCTGGTGGAGCACCCTTGGGTGTGTATATGCCATGGCACAAAGAAACCAGGGTATAAAATACACATGGCCATTATTAGCTAGTAGTAATTTCAACTGTTAGAAACTGCTTGTCAAACATACCTTTTATAAAAATACAGACAAGAGTCATCAGAAAGATGGCATATCCCCCCTGGCAGCTGTCTGTAAAGTAATCACAAGTAAATGTGCAATTCTGTATGTAATGAGTCAAGAGTTGAATGTTCTTTAAGAAGCATACATTGTTTACCAACAAAAGATCCACCATGGTCGCATCCATATGAAATGGAAAGTAAAAAGTGTGTTTCTGTGGGTTTTTTTTATGCAAACAAATGACAAATTACAAGAAACAATAACTAAACAAGTGCATAGTCAACAAAGTCATCTATATCCCCCACCCATTTTAACACGTTATGGTCCCAAACCAGGTAACTGACCCAACATTTCTCTTAGCCCATGTCAAAATAGCTGCAATGGAAATTCTAAAATAAACATTTCTAAAACTCCTTAATATCAAATGGCACTAGTTCAGTATGTACTTTATATATAGACATGCAATGTTTGGCAAGGAAATATTTAACAGTTTATTTGTTATACTCCATAAGTGAACCCACCCTATATGAAAACTTAAATCCAACTTGTTGCCATGGAAACGTAAAAAATAAAAAATTATAAAATTCCTAAATAGCAAAAGGCACCAGTTCAGTATGTGCCTGGTAGACATGCAAAGTTTTGTAGAAAGTATTTAACAGTTTTTGAGTTACGCTCCGGAAACGAACACCACCCTCATAGAACCTAAGTCCAACTTGTTACCATGGAAACGTACAAAATAAAAATTTCTAAAATTCCTAAATAGCAAAAGGCACAACTTCAGTATGTGACTGATAGATATGCCAAGTTTCGATCTAATACACCGAATTGTTTTCGAGAAAAGGAAATGATTACGGATGGACAGATGGACTGACAGACAGACAGACAGACTGGCTGATCGCTATATCCCCCCCAAAGAGATGAATTCCAAGCACACACAAAACTAAAAGAAATTATTTAAGAAATCCTTTGGTCAGTTACAATTACAAAGGGCTTGCAGAAACATAACGTAGGTCACCCATCTGGCTAGTCAAAATTCCTCCATTTTCCATGTATGTTGTTTTAACTTTACACTATTCGTGAATCAGGTGATTTCGATGAGAAAATATTTAGGGGGGATGAGGTCGTGTGGGATGGTTAACGCAAAGAGAGATATATGTTCATCATCATGGTTAAATTTTGTAATGTTATGTACAACCAAATCTTTATTTGCTCATAAATCACCACGGACAGAGGCAAATTGAAGCCAAGATTTAATCTCATAGTGCAGAAAAAGGCTTTTCAGGGGTGAGGAGTTCTAAACTTTTCTGAGCCCTGCTAGGTGGCTATGCGATCTCAGGTTCGGCCTCTTTTCGGCCTGCTGGCTGCATACAAACTTGTCTCACAAAACTGAATTTGGAACAGAACACCAGCATGAGGTTTAACTGAATCCAATGTTTTGTGTAGGATGGCGATCTAGAATAAGGAAACACTGACAATAAGTTTTCAATTAAGTATAGTACTGTTTATATAACTTTCTTTTACATTGTAATACTTTAAGTGACATACACTTTCTTTGTCGATTTCTATCGCGATTATCACAGCAAGCTAACAGGCTATACTACAGGTACACGCTGTGGTAGTATGGTTAGACTGTAAGCACTAAGCCAGGTCGTGTTTTACCACCACTAGCTGTGAACATCTATTATCATGCAGCATAATCAACCTTCACATTGTGTCAATCACTTCATCATGTTAACAATAACATTCAAAATGTTTTCAACATGATCGTCATGGGCTGACAAATGAGACATTTAATGCTATAATGAAGATGAATTGAAGTCAACAAAAACTGTTTGTTTGTTAAGGATATCACCTAGTTACAAGTGAATCAGTTTAGGGCTTAGTTACTATTGAAGAAAGCATAAAGTCTATGTATATACTCAGGCTGTAATCTATTCAACAAGTACTCTATGGAGACAACTAGAAAGTTACAAAATGACATGCTTATGCCAACCATTCATTATATAGCACTGAAACTGGCTTATTGAATTTCAGTAGTGTTACAGTAACTACAAAGATCTTCTTATATTATAAATATAACATGTATCCTAACCATGTCAGTAGGTTGACATGAGTGAATATTCAGAAACATCAGTTTACAACACTATATAAACCTTTTGGGATGAGGATGGGTGATACTCTTTAATTAAGAAATAAACACTAAAACACTGCAGGGAGAATAAACCATAAGGGCCGTAGACGTCATTTACCTGTACCTTTTTTCCAATACCGATTATCATATCTCTCCCACTTTAGTAGGCAACCGTTCGACCATTGCCTTTTTCTACGTTGCCAAGGTCTACGTTGCCAAGGTACACATTTACGTCATCAAGATGCGAGCGCATGTTTGAATCTCCAGAAATGACGTCATGAATGAACAATGTTTTATCGTGAAATAAACCACAATTTGTTCTTCATTGTTTTTTGCAATTTATCATGAAACTATCTTCTCCTATAAAACATTGCCACTAGTTTGTGATGAATAAAAAGAGCACCAAGTCACAGTTGCTCACCAGATACATTCAAAGTGAGCAGCATTTAGTACAGCAGTTTCTGAGATGTAGGATTTTCCTTTTCGCAACATTGTCACAACAAAGTTTCAGATCAACCACTGTGATATAAAAAGCTCCATTTTCAAGTTTACGATCAAGAACATACTCAGTACAATTGTAATGTTGCATATTCTGGCAAAGTAATAGTTCTCAGAATCTTTGGTTTCTAAGAGATTGCTTTAAACATTTGACTCATTATTTTTCAGATATAAAATTCAATCAATTCCATTCCATGAAAATTATGAAAAAGTTCAAGATCTATGGTCCATTCTATCATGGCTGGAGACAAGGTGCTGCCCATCATCTACAGGGCCCACTTGCACAAAACGATCTTGGGGCTAAGATGATCGTAACTCCCATACTTTAACATCGGCTTATGATAGTCGTAACACTAAGATCACTTTGTACAAGTGGGTCCTGGAAATAGATAGTTTGGTATGTTGCAATGTAAACCCCATACACTCTCTTGGGGGTAAGAGCCTGCCAAGCGAAAGAGTTAACTTGCAGGTATAAAGTCACTGTATCTGGGCTACCTCAGGATATATTTGAAATATTTCCATCACTGGCCACACAAGTTATGAAAAGCCAGTGCCATTCAAATAACTATCATGGGCATTAAATATGAAACAAAGTTTTGCAATGATGTTCAAAATTCAATGCTTAAAACTATAATAACTGCCAGAAAAATGTAGTTATTTATAAAATATACCTTAATACACAAAGCATAAAAATATAGTATCATTGCAATGCTCTAAGTCACCAAAATATTAAACCATAAATACATTTCAATATTTATCTCTATTGAAACAATGTTTAACCTGAAAGCCATGTAAGCTGTGACTTAATTTGGGTGTCAAACTATATGTAGACAAGTCCATATCCCCATCATCCAACCATAAAAATATTACCCAAAAATACAATTGTCTACACCACTTAATTACCGGTACATCTGTATGCAGTAAATCTAGGCAGCATCCTAATTTCCTAGGGCTATTCAACGAAAACAGATGATTTGGCCAGTTGGTCAGTGTCAAATGTCAAAGGATAGGTAAATGTCATCGATTTACATATCATCTTCCTGAGGCAAGAGAGTTAACTGACTATAAAAGTCAAGTTTCCAACCTTGCCGAACTAGGCTGGTATGATGGAGTTACATTTTGGCTGGACTAACGAGTCAATGCATAGTCCAATCAGAATCGCGCACCGACATTGAAATCCGGTTCGTAAAAGGACATGCAGATTTTCGGTCGATTGCAGGATGTGCACCGCAAACTAGTTGTCAGCGGATATTTTCCAAATCTTTTCATGTTTTTAATCAAGGTGCTTGTGTGAAGCAAATGCAAGTGATACGAGAGGTGGAATCTGATTGGTCCATAGGAGAGACTTAGAAGGGACATAACTGGTAATAGCCACTGGTGGCGCTTCGATCGAACCCAGTAATTCCAGCCTAGTTCGGCAAGGGTGGAAACTAGACTTTTATAGTCAGTCAACTCTCTTGCCTCAGGAAGATGTTTACATGTATGAAATGTTGCAACTAGTTCAAAACCTTATAACAACATTCATCTAAATGTTAATCCCAAATAGGGTTTATCCACATAACCTAACCCTGTTGTGATTGGTCAACTTACCTAAGCCCATGGTACACCACAGACACATGTATTAAAGTTAGCAAAAATATTGGTGTGGTAAAGTGCCTATCTAAAGATAGTAAGTTTCTCTAACATAAAAAAACAGGGCAGTTGAAGTAATTTTATCAATATCAATAATCAAAATCATATCAAGATGTGATAATTCTCCTGAGTAGTCAACTAAAGGTTCAATGTTGTTACTCGCAAGGCAAATGTTGACATAAGTTGTGGACACGATAATCAAACAGATGAGAAAAAGGCTTATAATGATAACGTATAGCTAAGCTCTTAAAAAGGGCAAAGTTCTATTAGTCCTTAAAATATCGTAACTATTGGGAAGTTTGGCAAAACTACTGTACTAGCGCCAGTTTCTAATGCTGTTCTACACTATTTCCTTTTTTCAAATTCATTTCAGTTAAGCATTTGTGAATAAGCATACCCTAAGGTATTAAATTTTCAAAGTCGTTATGTTGTGTTTACTTGCCCTAAGTCAGAGCATGACTTGAATCCGTATGATTTGGACCAAGACATCTAGCGCATATCAGATTCCTGTATGAACACATCAGTTTACTCAAGGCATTGTGAACCAGCATCAACACCAAGACTGAACAATGGAAAGACACAGCTTCCTCCAGGAGATTCAAGTTCATCAAGAATGCATCACTTACATTGTTGATAACTTTGTTCCACATTTTGGTTATTTCATTGTATATTGCTACATCTTGAATATGGCTAAAGAGGGGTTAGGTTTGATTTGGATAGTAACTCCAAACAGTGAAATCCCCAATGTCTCTTTAATTGCACCTTTGACAAAATCTTTGTCAAGGACAAAATGAATATATGTATCATACAA